ATTACCCCTCATGTCAAGCCCTCTGGATATTGTTAGCCGCTTATCGACCACGCCCGTTTTGGATTACTCTTCTGTCTTGCCCTCAGTATACCTGTTTGCCATTATCTGACCCATGCCTGTTTTATGACAACGTCTCTGTCTCCTATTAAAGATTTGCAAATGGATCCGCAAGTCTCATGTCTCGTTCGCCCCGTAACAGGTACAGTGGAAAAAATGGCTGGCTAATGTAGAACATATGTGCCCAGGTGAAAAAGAAATATATTTAAATTGTGCTTTTTCAGACATACATACTATATTTAAATTATACTATACTAAGTGCATATTAAATGTATTATTTTGAAACAACTTTAAGTGTATTTCTTAGAAATATATTAAAATGCAATTCAATATATTTTTATTGCACTTCAAATAAGCATGATGGGAATACAAATGTATTATAAACATACTACTTGAATTTCAAGTATATTTTTAATACATTTAATACTACGTCTTTTTCACCTGGGTGGGCATTATGCAAATATGTTACCCCATGACGTGTAGCCATCATGTAAGTGGGATTTGAATTTTTGAATTACTGACGACTCGTTTAGGCTGTTCAGAGTCGATTCTTTCTTTTGAGAGACAATAACTTTATTTTTTGTGTACTTTCGGCTTTACATTTTGGGTTTACATTCACATACAGCTAGATTCCTGTAGCTGCATGAAAGGCCCACTGATCTATATATTCAATGTCCAAAGCTCGGTATAGTCAACTAAAAAAAAAAGAGAAGAGAAGTGCATTTTGCTGAATATATTGCATATTCAATATATTTTTACTTTAACCTGTTAGTGATGTTATATTTCATATATGCTTGAATAAACCAGTCATGAAAACAGTATATTTTTATGACAGCCACCGTTTAAATATTTAATTTCAGCAATGAATTGGAGTAGAAACATAATTATGTCATTAACAAGTTGATATAAAAACTGCCTTATGCAATTTAAATGTTTATATACTGTTTTATTTGAGTGCTGATTGTTATACCTAAAAATAAATGGAAATTTAATTCATTGATTTAGAATAATTATTACTAGTTATTTATTTTAACCTTATGTATTATAATTATATACTAACTGACAGGATTCTCTATAATTTACAGCATTAGTTGAGATGGTTCCTTAAATTTGTCCTTAAGAAAAAGTGACATGTACGCACCATTCAATGCAATTTTTGTAGTAAAAATAGTGAGTTGTGTGTAATCCTGTTTCTTGTCATCTGTGTGTGGACTACCAATGTCTTTCAAAAATAGAAGAATGTTTTCAAGACCTCCTATCTTCCATTATCTCCAGACAATTAACAGATATATATAAAAAATTATATTCACTGATATACATTGAAATACTTAAAGAAAAAAAATCCCTTTTGCTCCCTTTTAACCTTCCTGTTAAGTTAACCAAAATGATTCAGATTGATATGCAAGTTGTATATTTTGTTCAGTAAGTCAATATGTACTTTCTAACATTAGATTATTCAACAGTGGATATCCATTTATCCACTATCCATCACTATCCTGCTCAATTCTCAAATATACAATAGTTTGTTTGGATAACTTAAATAGTAGGAAATGTTTTGAAATGTCACGAATCTTGTGCAAGCAAACATCACATATGGAAGACATTGTGAGGTTATTAAGTGAAGTGCAGTCAGTTTCTGAGGAAATGTGAACCGTGAATCAATTTAGAATAATTATGTAAGCCAAATATGTGAGGCTAAAAACTGATAGGCTGAACAGAGATAGAGAGCTCAGTCTATATTCTTTTTATTTTATCGTAGTTTATAGAAAAACAGTGGTGTGAACACACAAAGTAATTGCCTTGTCAGTGGAGACATGCTCTTATGAAAGGAAATGATTCACTGTGTTACCACGGCATCACACAGAAAACAGCTAAATGTATGGAGACCCGTCATGTTTGTGTCAAACTTCTCATTGATTGCCTGAGAGTCTGTGTTTCAAAATGTTCTACTTATAGAGATGTGTGTGGAGAAAAAAAAGAACCTTATAAATGCATGGAAAGATTACTGTAGTCAGTGTATACAAATGTGCATTCTGATCTCAACCACTTAAATTTATACACCTCTGCCAGACCTAGACTTTAGCTCCAGAGAAACACAACAAAAATGTATGCATATGAGCCATTGCTGTCAGTGGACTGATGATATGATATAACAAGCCCTCTTGAGCCTAGTTATGTGGTAATGTCATTTTTAATTGGACCTGTCCATATATTGGTCCACCATGTGCATCTGACGAAGGCCACAGGCTGCTTTTTTTTTTGGGAAATGCTGAAAATCATTATGTACAAAATACTCTTAAACAGATTACACAAGTACACTGAAATGAGTTCCGACACCCACGTTGGAGAAACTTAAACAGTTCATGCTTGTCCACAGCTGTTTTAAAGGAATAGTTTATGTGAAAAATGAGAAATGAAAAAGTTCTGAACATTTACTCACCCTCAGGCCATCTAAGATGGAGATGAGTTTCCTTTCAAATTCAAATGTTTATTTTTCCTTTAATAAAGTATTGTATATTATGTGCTGTAACTATGTCAGATGTGTTCTTCAGACACTTCAGATTTTAAGCATTTATAGATTTGATTCTTCTGCTAGAAAGTAGCTCAGTCAGCAGGAAGCCAGCCTGCTTCAGGCATGAGTGATACCTCAAATCCTGCGACTTGTTGAGGAGATCTTTGTGATCAGACTTCCAATTTATAAAATCTCATAGACTCACATTGACAGAGGGACTCTAGCCATATTTGGGGACTGAAATATCAGTATGCCTTAGGGACCATTTATAAAATGTATGTATTTATTTTACATGGGCAAGCACCACTCATATTTTCTGTAGTTTATCTCCATAACAGCCGTCAAACTGGTCCGTTCCAAATCATTCCTAATTCTCAAACTGCCTGGTGCACAGAGAGAAAATGCAAATGAATTTTATAACAAAAACAGATAAAAACTGTAGAAAAACTGCAGCAATGCTACAAATTTCCCAATGCTGAAGATTCTGGCATGTTT